TGTAGGTTCTGGGTAAAGGTTTCGATTTCGAGTGGGGTGGTGGGGGGTTGAAGAGGGGGTAGGTTTTGGGTTATGTGGTTTTGGAATTTCTTCTAGTCGCTCTTACGGTAATTTTTAAAGGTGATGGAGTGGGGTTTTGGGGGGTAGAGGGTGGATTTTGCAAGTAAGGGTAGGTGGTCAGAGGTTATACACGTTTCCGTAAAAAGAATTTGGTCAGGAATAGAGGATCCTTGGTAACAAAAATAGGGGATGAATTGGGGATGCGGGAGATAGGGAAGTCGATTAGGTAGTCGGATAGGAGGTTTCCGTTCCGGTTGGAAATTGTATTACCGAACTGGGTGTGGCGGGAGTTTAGGTCGCCTAGGAGAATAGAGCGGGGAAGGGAGGCAAAGTACTGGAATAGGGGTAGGGGGAGAATATTGGAAGGATGGTTGTAAAAGGAAATAACGGTGGTAATGGTATTAGTTTGTCAGATGTCAATTGCTAAGCAGTCCAGGTTATCGAGAGGCGGGATTCCGTGTCTCACTAGGATAGCGTTACCCCGGCAGGAATTGTTTTTAGGGGTGTGGAAAATTTGATAACCTGTGAATGTGGAGGGGGAGACGAGTGAGGGTGTCGATTAGGAATAGGAAAGAGGGTTGATGTTGGGTTAGGAGGGATTTTAGGAGTGCTCTTTTGCGGGTGAGGCCCCCTCAATGTCTTCTAGGGAGTTAACGAATATTATCAAAATAATATTTATTCATCCACTCGAGTTCAAATAGATTTTTTTAAACTTGTAGCGACATTTGTTTTTCTAAATATTAATGCATGGATTTCGATTAAATTTAAGTTCTAAATAGTTCTAATGCAATAATAGTTCTGATCCTGAAGTACTCTAAATTGTTCTGAACTAGTTTTAATGCATCCAGAAGCACTCTAAATTGTCCTGGACCAAATTCTTGTTAACTTTGTAAGAACACTTTTGTTCAGTTCATATCAGTTCTTAGATTGTATTTTTTCGAGGTAGAAATGGTTATGAATGGATTTCAAATAGTTAAAATAATTATCATAAAAATAGTACATTGAAACTTTTATAATCTTTAGTGAAGAATTAAATTTTTTAAAACCAATTTTTATAAGTAATAAACTTTTTTACTCGCGCCAGAATCATTTAGAACTATAAAGAATGATTTAGAACCGTCTAGAATAATTTAGAATGCCCCAGAAAGATTAAGAACTGTTTAGAATAATTTAGAACTTTTTAGAATCATTTACAACAACCCAGAATCTTTTAGAAATGTCTAGAATTATTTAGAACTGTAGCGAATGAATTAGAACCGTCTGGAACAATTTAGAATGCTCCAGAAGCATTAAGAACTGTTTAGAATAATTTAAAACTTTTTAGAATAGATATGGAATAGATTTATTCAACAGAAAGTTTCCTAATAGACCCACAATAGCCTACAAAAAACTAATAGACAATTTTCAACAAAATGACCCAAAAAAACCATTCCCAAACCTCCTATTCCCAAACCTAAATCATTTTCTACCATTTTACAATCTCCAAAGTACCTTCTTCCTCATCCCCCTCCTCTATTTCCTCATCTATCAAAGGTTGAAGGTGAAATAAATATAAAATGTTTTGTTATTATACTGTTTAATCCTTATCCTGCTATAATTGAGATATTAATAATGGCTGAAGGTGAAAATAATATTCTTGCAAATATTATAGCCTTGGCGCACGATGGTAATAACGATGACGATAATATGGATGTTCTAAATGCATTGATATTGGGTCTCGATGAACCAATTGGAAATGATAATCTAGAAGGACATCCACGAGTAAGGAAACCTAGGAATGATGATTTCCTTAAAGTGACCGTCCCAAAATTCTCAGATGATCTTTTCAAAGAACATTTTCGAATGAGTAGAGGAACCTTTCAGGTATGTTTCCCAATCACATAAATATTAAATCTGTTGATCATTAATAAAATTTCAGAACCTACGCAACATGCTGGGAAACAATATTGCTCACAATAGGGACAATATTGACTTTGATCAAAAAAATAATTTCTTTATGGACCATCGGAAAACCGGAGTGTTTCTTAGCTGCAGGGGATAGATTTGGACTCGCAAGAAGCACTGCCCATGGAGTATTTAAAACCATTGTGGATTCGTTGGCAAATTTGATTCTCCAGTACGTTCAGTTTCCGAATGCACAGGAAATGCTGATATTAGCAAATGTAAGCAATTTTCTGTTTTTAATGGTCGAGAAATGTCTGTTGTAAAGGTGTAATTATTAATTAAAATATTACTATTTTAGAACTTCCAAGCACTATCACAAGCACGATATGACGGATGTCATATTGTGTAAAAATTGAAATAGTGTGATTAAATTGTAAAAGGATTGTTAATCCAAGCAAGGGAGAATCTTACAAAATTGGGATGTTTATAGGATTACATGTTACAAAGGATCTTCTACAAAATCTTTGGAGGGCTTAGAAGAGCAAGCAATTAGAGCGGTTATAATACAATTTTAGAGCGATTTAGAACCGGTTTTAGAAGAGCAATTCTGAAGCAATTTAAAAGACGTTTAAAAGCGATTTGTGAAGAACAATTGGATAATATCTCCAAAACTGTAGGAGCTCAAAAAATATCAAAATAAAATTTGAAATTTCGGTAGATCGGTAATGAAGCGTTTGTGGATCAATTTTTATATGAACTTAGTCAACATAATACAACAAACATAATACTCTCGTAAAAAATATAATATTCACCAAAACAAATATTCTACACAATTTTTTTTGTTGAGTTAATAGTAATTTGGCTACTACTAATTGATCGGATACTATCTAACTATTTGATATTAATATAAAATAACTGTTTACACGGGAAAATAATATTGTGTAGAATATTTGTTTTTATCCAATTCATATGCGACTGGGCTCTTATTTACAGAACACAACAAACAATCTTTCAATAAGGGTTAAATAAAGCAAAAATACTAATTAAATATTTTATTATAAACTGAAACTGAAAAAATTAAAAGAACTGTTAACTGATCAAAAGAACGTATTGGTATTATTTTAAAGTGAAATTAGAAAAAAAAACAGAGATTGGATTTAATAATACAGCCCATTTCACTGATAATAATTCTCATGAAATAATATTACACTGTAAAGATTGCGATAGTCACCATTTGAATATTTACTGAAGTAATCTTTCTTTGGCTCAACTATAAGTAAACCGTTTGCTTCATCTAAATTACTTAATGAGTCTGTTAATTCATATGCAGTTGTCATTCCAGTCAAAGTCCTATTTACTTTAACTAGTCGATACTCTGGACAATCATCATTATTACGCGGTCTCGAATACTAAAAAATGAAATTTATTGTAATATTATATTCTATACTCTGTTTCCTATCAAGAAATAGTAAAAAAATAATAAAGCCGTAATTTATAGGGGCACTAACAAATAAATACAACCTAATAACAGGTAATACCCTGTATACTGAGAAAACTAATAAAGTAAAATAAACATAACTATTATACAATGGTAAAACCTGTAACGTTATGGAATTTTATGATTTTTTTTAATAAAGAGAAGTGAAGAAAAATAGAAAATATTTTCATTGAATAGAGCGCATCGACTAATACTTGTACACAAATTTTCAAATTTTAAGTACAACTACTTTTCCAGATACTTCTAATGGGCCCTCGTCGTGACACACACTGTATAGCTTCCTTATTTCAAACAAAACGTATTTCGAATATAATTATTCCTCTGTTAACAAAATGTTTACTTACCTTAAATGCACTTGGTGATATAGAAATAGGTAGAAAACGTTCGTTGAGAGATTTTTCCATTAAGCGTAGAGCAGGAATAACGAATAATACACAAGTTATTGCACAGGAAAATGGATTACCCGTTAGACCAAACACTATTTTCAATGTTTCATTATACATAAGTGTTGCAAAGGTCGTGTATTTTCTATAATACAATGATAATCATTTAATCATTGAAATCTTTAAAGTTACGAAACTTTGACTTACCCGGGTTTCATCTTTATCCTGCAAAAATGTATAGTAGCTTGAAAATCTTCGACGAGGACCCGTTTCAACATGTCCAATTCTCCCATTAAACTGTTCGTTATAATAACATCGTTACAAGTAAAACTTTGTTCAAGAGCTTGCTTTATTGCATCAGGACTAAAAATTATTGTATTAAAAAGGATCAAATACATCAGAATTAATTATTACTTGTCTTTAGCTATACCACAATCGTTTGCTTCATAATGGAAATTTTTAAGTAAATTAATGAAGGTGCATTTATTTGCATCTTTGATTTTGCCAGGGGCTAGTTCTTCTTTAGGTTCACAAATATAATTGCCAATTGATATGATTCCTATAGAAGGGCGTCTAGAAAAAAATGTATTAAAGTAAAGGAGGGAACTTTTAGGAAACTGAATATTTCAACATACTTATAAACCAAAATATTTGTTTTTCCTAACATGGCTAAAACTCCAAGAGAGAAATGTTTGATACTTTCGCCTTTTTTTAAAACCAAAGAATTCTTCGATACGTCGCTTCCGATTATTCTAAAAAAATTACTAAATATGCCACAATTGTATTAAAAATGTTCCCTCACCTTATGTTTTCATTATAGTTGGGTGCTCTTTTGATTTCAACCCTAATTACTTCAGAACCATCCATCGAATATTCAACTACTGATGTATCTTCCAATGGTACCACTGCGTCTGCTCCCGCAGGAATTGGTTCTCCCATCGATATTCTTATCGCTTCGCCTGACTGCAGAACTTTATCGATTGGCTGCAAAATTACAAACTTCATTTATTACAATTCTAATGAGCTCATTCTTTAGAAATCTCTTAAATGTATCTACATACCTTATTTTCTGCAGTTGCGACATTCTTCACAACACGTATTCCTTTGCCATTGCTATATTTAACCGCGTAACCATCTATAATCGAAGTTGCAAATGAAGGAATCGATTCTTCAGCACGAAAATCTTCTGCTGCAATTCGATTAAACGATCTCTCCGAATGCACCGTTTCTGTGGTTTCCTCTTTATCAGAACAAACATCCTCAATAATAACAGAAGCTAATTTAACATCGATAATAGGGTAGCAGTATTTTCTTAATGGAGCCAGTTTCACCTACAAAAATAAAGACAAATTCGAATTGAGTAATAGTACTTTCGCTGATGTCGAAGCTGTTAATTTTATAAATTACCTTACTAAGGCTGGTGGTTGGGACAACGGATGCTCCTGAGTCGCTCAGAATGGCTTCGTGACCAGAAACCACTGATTTTTTTTGTTCTGTTAGGAGCTCCAAAGCGAGGGGTAAGGCTTCCTTGATAATACCGAAGCATTCCGAAACCATTTCGGGGCTTCCCGGCAGGTTAACTATCATCGTGTTGTCTCTAATACCGCTCAAGGGTCTGGAGAGCATCGCAATTGGATTGATCTTCAAGCTACTGGTGATCATAGCAAAGATCATGTCTGGTAAATTGCCTGTTATGAATATTACGTTGATTTTCAAGTCGAACCATTCTGTTAGAGTCGATTTAATTTCCTGCATATCCACTGGTACGATTTTTATTGCGATTATTTCGGCCGATGGAAACTCCTTTAATATTTCTTCTCTTAAGTTAGGACTTGATGAATCATTGCCTTTACCCGAATAACTGCTGTCGCTGACTGTAATGGAGAGTCAATTTGAATTGAAGAAATGTAAAATGAGTTGCCTACTTACCAGTAAGTATTCCGAAGCTTATCTGAACAGGCATAATAAAAGTTCTATAAAATATAAAGAATAGATGTAATAAGAGTAGCGGGAGCGGTATACCCAATTTTTTTTATACAAAGTATTTATTACAAAGTACAACAGCAAGATTTTTAAAATTGACTCAACATAAAGCTAGAGAAAAAAAAATGTTATTGTTATTATTTATAGAATAGCATGTGGGTAATTCAATTTACACAAAATTAGGGATAAGTACCAGTATTTATTTAAACTTAAATATACCTAGGTATCTTCATTAAACAAACGAAAAGATTTTACAAGTACAGGGTGTTCCAATAAAAAGTAGCCCCTATAATGAGCTTATAATTTGTAAACGCCTAATCATAAAAACATGCGGTTTTCTCAAAAATCTTTTTTTTATTACAAGTTTTGTTACAGTGATACAGAAATTATGCATTACCAATACAGGGTGTTGTATAAAACTGTCCTCTTTTAAATTCACAGTTACTAAATTTGTTTAAATGGAACACCCCGTATATATAGAGGTATTTTGAATGATATACTCTTCTACTTTTCGAAAATGTATTATTTGTACATGTTATTCTAGAAAAGAAAATGTCCTATTTCATAAAATTTGGTTAATGTGAATTTAAAAGAGGAGATTTTTATGAAACACCCTGTACAGGCGATACGAAATTTTTGTGTTACTGTAACAAAAAGTTATAGCAAATTAAAATATATCTTCCAAAACCGCAAGTTTTATGATTAGTCATTTAAAAATTATTAGCTCATTAATTTTTGTATTTTGTATTTAAAGGGGCTATTTTTCATTGGGACACCCTGTATTACGAGTATATAATAATTTATGTTTGGAAGAGCAAGTAAGTAATTTAATTTATTGAGAATTGTGGAGGAATCAGAATTATGGAGGTTGAGTTTTTCTTTCGATGTTTACTATACAGAAATCTGTTTGGAAATAGAAAAAAAAGTTTAAATGGACAAATTTAATATTTGCAGTTTTGTGAGACATATTTCACAACCAAGTACATCAATTTTGCAAAATATGACACCTGTCAAAGTATTTAAATTTACTTGGACGACGAAATATGTATGGGTAGACCGCAAAAATTACGGTAGACCGCCTGCTAGACTGGCTACAAAATGATTATACCGTACCATAAACGTGGCTGTGGCGAAAAAGCTTGTGTTGGGAAAATAAAATAAAAATAAAATTTTCTAATATAAAAAGCAACATGTCTGCCGGTGCTTCACCGAATATTTAACAATCAACTTGAATAAACAAAATAATCGGTACAACTTATTGTTGAAAATAAAGAAATAGTTTATTAAGCAAAAATACATCTTCCTGTTTAGTTTGCATTATAAGCAAAACTGTACGTGACTCGATATTTGTTTTCTTGTTTTTTTTAATTACCTACCGAGTCGCCATTTTTTATGAGATAATTTACTAACGAAAATATTTCAAAAAAATTGAATTCCTTCTTTTAGTCTTTGGATAGTTCAGAAGTGTCTTCCAATTATAGTTAAAGTGAATTAAAATAATCATTTATTTCGGTATATAAAAGACAATTGTGTTTTATAAAGCCATTTCCACGATATTGACGATTTAATAAAAACAATATTTATCAATATTTTAACTATTTAACACCTAAATAAACTTATAAATTATGTAATAATAATTATACAGACCTTTGCTATTTTTCCGGTGATTCAATTAACACAACTGAAACAGTAACTAATCTCGATGAATTAATTTCTTACTACGTTTTAATTTAGTCAGACACTCGAACAGATACAGGGAGTTCAGATTCAGACTTCCAGTGAAGCATAGAATAACCCGAATAGAACGGAAAGCTCCGTGTATTAGTGATGTCAACCACAGAACATACATAAACAAGAAGGGACATCTCCGTGAGAATTTCGTAGACGTTGTAGAGCGCACTCTGAGAGTAGTAGCTGTACTAAATTAATGGGTGTTGCCTAGTAAAAGGGGATATCATGTAGAACTCTACACTAAAATTAGTAATATAGGTTTTTTATTCGATTTTTTCTGACTTTTAATATTATCCAATTTCTTGTAGAACTTGTACAATTTGTTACATTATTATAAAATGTATAGAATTTTGATATAGATAGTAAAATAAATTGTACAAGTTTTACAAGAAATTGGATAATATAAAAAGTAACTACTCTCATAAAATAAGTAAACACAAACACTTCTACTTAAAAATATATTGAAAAAAATGTCAAAATTCATTAAATTTAAATAAAATCGCTAAATAAACAAATATTATGGCGGAACCAGAAAAATTCACTACGCGCTGTAAAAACAAGCAATAGAACGAAAGATTTAACTTTAACTTTACACAATTCCTCACTAACAATTCACTAACACTACTATACACAAAACTTATACAACTTACAGGCAATAACAATGCCTTTTAAACTCACTCGAAAACAAACGAAATAAATGAAAAAAAAATAACTTTTCGGTTTTAACTTCATCTTGCACTACAAGAGAAAATATGCAGAATCGATGCGAATCAATACAAGACGCCATTATTGTTTTTGAAATACGGCGTTGAGCGGGTTGCTTGCGCTGACCTGAAATAAACTACTGTTGCGCCATCTATCAATAGCGCCGAAACTAAATGAAAGTCTAAAATTTCTCATAAGGCTGTCTAGGCCCTGATGTCAACTAATGCGACATAATATTGAAGCGGGTGCACCGAGAAGTTAATTTATCAAAAATAGAATTCTGTAAATTTAGTGTTATTTTTAACCGTAGATGGCACTCGTATATTTTAAATAATTTACTATGTTACAACATCCAATTTTCTTGTTCAAGAGTATCGTACAATTTATTATTCAATTATTATTTTATAATTAATAAATAAATTGTACGAAACACTTGAACAAGAAAATTGGATAATTTAAAATAAAATTAAAAACATATATGTGTATAATATCTTTTATTTAAAAATGATCATTACAAAAAAATACTAAAAATTACAAAGAATAAAAAAATATCATAAAATTAAAAAATATAAAAATAAAATAAATGTATAAAAATAAATAAATTGTACAATAATTTACAATTGTAAATTGCAATTTAAGACCTCTTCTAGTTCCGGACACTTTACATTCATCCGTGAAATGTTCGTCACATACGTAGAACTTATTATATATATCACCAACACTCATTGTTTCAAAATTGTCTGGTTTAACGATTTCCAACCACTTATTAAAAACAGGTACGTTGTTTTTCGGGAACCTATGCATTTTATTGTAACGATTTGTACAATCAGCAACACAACATTTTTGAGGTGCACGACGACCAGCAGAAGATTCCATATTTCAATAAAAATAACTTCAAACACAATCACAATATCAAACAATAAACACTTTCAAACTTTCAAACTAAATGCGATGCTAATTTGATGTGATCTAAAGCATTTCTGCGCGCACGAATCACGCAGAACGCTTGAAGTAAACAAAAATTACCGGAGAATGCCAGACCGTAGCGCCATCTACAGGTGAGTAGAAAATAAAATTGATTATAGCGCTCCCGGTGGATGCACGATGTTACTAAAACTATACCGATTCTCCCTATCTACTTTCCATAGCCTGCAGTGAAGAAAGAAGTAAAAAAGCGCTGTGCTGTGGAATATGTGGAAAATGCGACGTTGCCAAATATTCCTCTCTTTATCTGGGATTACCCTATGTGAGGATGACCAATCACAAACCCTCAATCGGCTCAATTGATATAACAGGTAAAAGGTCGAGGAAATTGAGTAGAGAATTGTCGTATGTACATACACCGTAGACAAAATAGGTACTGTTTAACACTACTATCTGTTTTTATGTTAAAAAAAAATCCCTAAATCGAAAACGGTGCAAAGAAATGGCCAATAAACAAAAGCACGATCGTATACTACAAGGTCTGGAAACTCGACTTTTGTTATTGGCGTTATCTACTTGAATGAAGATGTTTATAATAGTTTACTTCAATATAAGCTCTGTAAACATCTAAATTGTGACAACCTATAACAAGCTAAAGGTTGAATCCAAAAAATATCCTCTACAACATTGATGCCTACCGGTCGATTTAGCAAGTACGCATATTCAAGTTTCCAGACCTTATAATATATGACCGTCAACTGAAGCTTCTTACAAATTTGACAGTAATGACAGTAGACGAGTGACATTTGAGGTTAGGTTCGGAATAATCGAAGAGTAAATAGGAAATTTAGGGAAGAAAACTTCTAAAAATGCCGGAAAAGAAAACGTAAAATGGTAAAAGTACTTTTTAATCAATTACTCGACTATAAATCATCTTTCAATTCATCTGAAGAGCCATTTTCGACTTCTACGAAACGTCCTAGTGACCCCTGAAGGAGGCTATTTATGGAGATATTCCAAAAAGAATGAAATTTCAGTGCTCGTTTTACAACAAATTTCTCTACAATGAAGATCAATTTCGAACATTCAGACCTTCTTGGAAGTTACTCGAGGAAGAAAATCATCTTTTGATTCATCCGGAGGGCAATTTTCGACTTCTACGAAACGTCCTAGTGACCCCTGAAGGAGGCTAATTGTGAAGATATTCCAAAAAGAATGAAATTTCGGTGCTCGTTTTACAACAAATTTCTCTACAATAAAGATCAATTTCAAACATTCAGATCTTCGTGGAAGTTAATCGAGAACGATAATAATCAATAATTACAATTGTAAGTACAAATACAATTACTCGTAATGATTATACTCACACTTGTAAATAATTTGTAGGCCAATCTTGCAATAATTTTGGTTAA